CAACATCTTTGTTTGTATGTGGTGCTGAGGATCGAACCCGGGCCGCACGCATGCCAGGCGAGCGTGCTACCGCTTGAGCCACATCCCCAGCCCAATCAGGTCTTTCTTAGATTCCAGAATACTACCAATTCTGCTTTTTTTCTGCCAAAATTTCAGATCTTCTGATGTTTGCTTTCTCTGTCCAGTGTTTTCAGTTATAGTTAATGGGAGCTTTTCAGTTGATGTGCTTACTCCATTATAGCTTAAACAGGATCTCGATTCCAACAACCATTTATTTAGCGAATGAATAAATTGAACTAACAGATTTTGGCCCCTACTTGCTCATAGTTTATGTGGCTGACAGTGTTACAATAGATAAAGTATTAGGTGAGTTAAGACAGATTTCTATGGGAGCTCATAGGGAAAGAAATGAAATTATTTATAGCTATTAGGGAATAGGATATGTGGTGCAGGAATTATGCAATATAGTTTAGTTGCGACACTTATGGTTATGGGCAAGGTCCCCCACAAGACTGCCTCCTTTTAGACCCCAGCTCCAAGTTTTAGGGTCCACCTGCATTAATAACTGATAGGCTATGAATTCAGGAGTTCCTGTTAGGCCCCTGGGTTCAATAGTTGCTAAAACCATGAGGAGCTTACTGAAAACACTATGCTCATAATTACCATTTTATTATTAAGGTTAAAATTTAGAAACAACCAAATGGAAGCAGCACATACATAGCTGGTGGCTATGAGAGGAAGGGCAAGGGGCTGGGTATAAACATCTTTCTTGTAGAATCTAGCATATCACCCTCCCAGCAAATCAAAATGTTCCCCAGTCAGGAGGTTCCACTGAGCTCCTAGGTTCAGAGTTTTTATTTGGGTTTACATAGGCATGATTGATTAAATTATTGGCCTTGTGATTGAGCTCACTCATCAGTACACTTTCTTCCTGGAGGTCTCGCTAGTCCAAGTCCATCCTTTTACTAATGTGGCTGTGTGCCCTAAACTGTGCCCTAAACTGGCACATAAATATTTTTTATTTCATACTGGGGATTGAACCCAGGGTCACTTTACTACTGAGCTACATCTGCAGCCCTTTTTATATTTTGAGACAAAGTCTCCCTAAGTTGTGGAGACTGTCCTCAAGCTTGCAATCCTCCTTCCTCAGCCTCCTGAGTTGTTGGGATTAGAAGTATGCACCACTGCACCCAGCCCAACATAAATTCTTAACTATTCCTTATTGTACAATATTCATCAAATAAGATTTCTTGGATAATGTGGCATTTGAAAGATTGATAGGACTTAAACATTTGGAAAGGGCATTTCAGGCTGAGATAGTAGCAATCATAGAGTGAAAAACATGCAGAAGTTCAAGGTTTAGTATGTAGAAGTATATCCAGTACTTTTTTAATGTTAGCATAGAACATATAAAGGGAGAATAAGAAGTAAAGCTAGATTTGGTCTATCATTTAATAGTATTTATTAATCATACTCTCTTATTTCTACAGAGCTGAAGAAAAAAGAGATTTATTCATGTTCTTCCGAAGCCTACATTTTTTTGTGGAGTGGTACAAATGTCGTAAGCGCACATTTAAACATTTCAAGGTAAAGTTTAAAGTCTTTGAATTTAAACATATATGGAAAGTGAAACTGGTTGTAAATTTGGAGATTCAGTCATAGCATAGTTTTCTCAAAGTTTTCAAAGAAGAGAAAATATTTCCATTGACTTCAGGAATTTGCAGTTCTTTGTAATAAATTGAGAAGAAGCTTCAGTATAAACTAGTGGCTAATTTATGTTGTGGGATGTTTTGAAAGAAATAGAGTAAAATTTTAATGTATTTTAAGATGTACATTTTGAAAAATCAGTCTTTCAAGGGTACTTGAAATAAAATAATAAATTCTACTAAAAAATACAGTCAGAGCAGTCTTGTCATGAAGAACTATAATCTTAACTTCCTGATCCAGACTGTATTTTGAATCTCTTAATTCTTGCACATTTTTAGTTTAAATATTGAAGTCTGTTTTGTGAAGTAATGAGTCTTTGGGCTGGTGGAGAGACTTTAAAGCACTTGTTTTTATTTGTTTTATGGGTGTAACAAGAATTGTTTGGCTATTCGGTAATCATTCAGGTCTTTCTTAGCTTGATGGTATCACATTATTGACAGCAGTGAATCATACAAAAACCACCTGTGAAAGAGTCAACATAAAATTTTAAGGTTCATGTTCCTTAAAAAGCCTAATGGTCATGACTGTTGTTTTTAAGATTGATACTAACTCCTCTTTATTTTGGGCTATATTCCTTTTTTACTATTATTATAAGATTTATTCTCTTTGGCATAGCTAATAAAATTTGTCAGGCAGAGGATTTTCTTCAGAATGAAACATGGTCATTTCCCATACTATGGATCCTTGAGGTGTTTTCATGATTTTGTCATATTTTCTTATATGTAGTCTTGTGCTAGGACAATTAAATATCTGTGTTTCACAACTGGTAAAATATAATGACTGGGAGATTTGCTGGCAGTTGAGGTAGTGAATGAGTCACCCAGTACTGCTGTTTCATTCTGCACCTGAGTGGCTGATGGTAACTGTGAGCTGTTTTGACTCTGGCTGCTCTCCAGGCAAGTGAAGAAGTATGATTGGTATGTTGATTCTATGGAGGATAGAGCACTCCATGAGCTGGCTTTTGCTGATGATAATATAACTAGGATTGAAAAAAGCATTGATTTTTTTTTTTCTACAGCCATCACCATTAATCTTCTCTGTATATTTTGCATTATCCAAAACTGAAACTCTGTACCCATCAGTTCCCATTCCCTCCTTGCCCCATCCCCTGGTAAACAGTTTTATGTTTTCTGGTTCTGTGAATTTGAGTATTCCAGGTACCTCATACAAGAGGAGTTGACTTTTTGTCTTGATTAGTTCACATCATCGTTTATCAATGTTGCAGCATGTTTCAGGTTTCCTTTTTAAGGCTTAATATTTTCTTGTGTGGATGTATCACGTTTTGCTTATCCATTTGTCTGTGGATGGGCACTTGTTTCCATGTTTTGGCTGTTAGAATAATGTGGCTCTGAACATACATGTACCAATATCTCTTCACATGTCCCTGCCTAGAATTTTTAAGTATTTATCTGGACATGGAATTGCTGAATCATAGGATAGTTCTAAGATGAATTTTTGGAAGAATCACAAACTGGTTTCCACAGCAGCTGTGCCATTTTACATCCTATTAACCAATATAAGGGTTCCAGTTTCTCCAAAACCTCTCCAACACTTGGTATTTTCTGTTTTTTTGTTTGTTTGTTTGATTTTTGTTGTTGTTGTTTTGTTAATAGTCTAATAGGTGTGTAGTGATATCTCATTGTGGTTTTGATTTGCCTCTTCCTAGTAGATTAGCAATGCTAATGTCTTTTCTTGTGCTTCTTGACCATTAGTATATTTAATGGGTAAGTTCTTTCTCCATTTTTGAATTAGGATTTTTGTTGTTGTTGAATTGTAAAGTTTCATATATATATATATATATATATATATATGGTAGAAATTGGTTTCATATATATATGTGTGTGTGTGTGTGTGTGTGTGTGTGTGTGTGTGTGTAGTTTCTTTCTCTGGATGAAGACAGTGTCTTTTTTTAAAAAAAATTGTTTTAATTAGTTATACATAACAATAGAATGCATTTATACACTTTGATATATCATACATAGGTGAAGTATAATTTCTCATTTTTCTGATTGTACATGTTATAGAATCACATCAGTCATGCAGTCATACATATACATAAGGTAATAATGTCTGTACCATTCTACTATTCTTCCTATCCATGTATTCCCTTCCTCCCCTTCTTTCACTCCCCTCTACCTAATCTAAGTTAATTCTGTTCTTCTCTAGTACCCCCCAATTTATTGTGAATTAGCATCTGCATATCAGAGAAAACATTTGGCCTTTGGTCTTTGGGGATTGGTGTATTTCACTTAGCATGCATGATATTCTCCAACTCCATCCATTTACCAGCAAATGCCATAATTTCATTCTTCTTTATGGCTCAGTAATAGTATTCCATTGAATATATATATACACCACATTTTCCTTATCCGTTCTTCTATTGAAGGACATTTAAGTTGGCTCCATAGTTTAGGTATTATGAATTGAGCTGGTATAAACATTGATGTGGCTTCGTCACTGTAGTATGCTGATTTTAAGTCCTTTGGGTATAGACTAAGGAGTGTTAATGCACAGAAATTTTTAATTTTCATAAAAAACTGTTTCTCACATGTTTCTTTATGGCCTGTGTTTTTTGTGTCCTATTCAATAAACTGTTACTATATTAATTGTCATAAAGATTTGATTTCTGTTTTCAAAATTTAATAATTTAGCTCTGAAGGCTATGTATTTGATTTTTGTTGTTGTTGTTTGTATGTTTGTTTGTGGTACCAGGAATTGAACCCAGAGGCACTTAACCACTGAGACACATCTCTGCTCTTTTTATTTATTTATTTATTGAACTGTTCATACTTCAATTCTTTTTCTATTTTTAGTTGTAGACAGATACATTGCCTTCATTTATTTATTTATTTATTTATTTATTTATTTATTTATGTGGTGCTAAGGCTTGAACCCAGTACCTTATACAAGCTAGGCAAGTGCTCTACCACTGAGCTACAACCCCAGCCTCTCTTTTTATTTTTTATTTTGAGACAAGGTCTTACTAAGTTGCTTAGGTCCTCACTAAGTTGCTGAGGCTGGCTTTGAACTTGTATTTCTCCTAAAATCTTTGCCACTTCCACCTCAGATAGAGCAATAATCTTCAGGATATATAAAAAACTCAAAAAAAGTTAACACCAGAAAAACAAATAACCCAATCAATAAATGGGCAAAAGAACTGAATAGATACTTCACAGCAAAAGAAATACAATCGGTCAACAAATATATTTAAAAAATGTTCAAATTTCTAACAAGTAGACAAATGCAAATCAAAACTACACTGAGATTTCATCTTACTCCAGTCAGAGTGGCAATTATCAAGAATACAAGTAACAGTAAATGTTGGTGAGGATGTGGGGGAAAAGGTACACTCATATATTGCTGGTGGGACTGCAAACTGGTGCATGGAGATTCCTCAGAAAACTTGGAATGAAACCACAGTTTGACCCAGTTATCCCAAAGGAATTAAAATCAGCATACTGCAGTGGCACAGCCACATTAATGTTTTTAGCAGCTCAATTCACAATAGCTAAACCAGGGAACCAATCTAGGTACCCATCAACAGATAAATGGATAAAGAGAATGTGGTACGTATACACAATGGAACGTTACTTAGCCATAATGAAGAATGAAAGTTTGGCCTCTACAGTTAAATGGATGGAACTGGAGGCTTATCATGCTAGGTGAAATAAACAATCTTAAAAAAACCAAAGGTCGAATGTTCTCTCTGATATTGTGGATGGTAACACATAATAAGGGTTGGGGGGAGAAGAAAGGTACTTTTGTTTAGACAAAAGGGAATAAAGGGAAGGGAGAAGGTATGGGAATAGGAAAGACAGTGGATGAATTGGACATAAGTTTCTTATGTTAGTATATGAATACATGACCATTGTAACTCCCCATCATGTACAACCACAGAATGGGAAGTTATACATTTATGTATAATATGTCAAAATATTCTACTGTTATAATGTATAACTAAAAAGAACACCAAAAAATTAAAAAAAAAAAAAAAAAGGAAGCAGCAGAGCCAAGATTTGATTCCAAGTAGTCTCCTGGCTCTGAAGTCTATGACATCCTTGGGAAAAGAACAAATCTGAAATTTGTCTGCCCAGTGTTTACCAGTCATTCTATTTTAAAGTTTTATACCACTGTATAACAAATAAAATGATCTGTGTAATGAACATGTAATTCTTTGCATCTGAAGACTTAATCTTTATCATCCCACATGATTTTGCACAATGCCTGCTTTTATAACGATTTTTTTGTATTGGCAATGTTTATAGCAGCACAACTCACAATAGCTAACCTACTAGATTAGTTTCCCTTCAACAGATGAAGAAAATGTGGTGTGTATACACAGTGGAATATTACTCAACCTTAAAAATGATTTTTATTGGTAAATGGATGGACCTATCATGCTAAGTGAAATAAGCCAATCCCAAGATCCAAAGATCATGTGTTCTCTCTGATATGTGTATATAACAACACAATAAGTGGAGGAGGGGAAGAATAAAATTCAGTGAATTAGACAAAGGAGAATGAAGGCAAGGGAGTGGGGATGGGAAAAGAAAAGACAAGACAGTGGAATGAATTGGACATAACTTTCCTATGCTCACATGTGAATATACCTCTAGAGAAATTCCACATCATGTACAATCTCAAGAATGGTATCCTAATTAGAATAAGTTATACTCCACGTATGTATAATCTGTCAAAATATACTCTACTGTCATATATATCTAAAAAGTACAAATTAAGTAGATAAATAAATAGAATGAACTTGAGCTCCTCCTGCCTCAGCCTCCAGAACCGATAGTATTATAAGCATGTATCACTGCGCTAAGTTTGGATTAAGTTTTGTTTGTGGTGTAAGGCATTCTTTTGCATGTGAATATGCA